GTGATGGTTTACCTGACAGCAGAAATTCATCTGATGAAACTCACAGAACATTTTCTCCAGTTCTTTTGAAGACAGCTACTCCAATGGTTCAAAACGACAACATCATTATATCTGCTAACATTTTTATAGATGAGGGATCTTCATTGACATACACCTCAACCAAGTATAGCAGTAACCTCAACATCGTTCCACACGCCAATTGCTTCGTCAAAATCGACACCTTTGGAGGAAAATCCATCAGACAGCAGTTTCCTGTTTGCTCCTTTGACGTCATAACAGAGGATGGTCCCATCACGATCGACACCTTACTCAAGGACGTTATTGTTCACCCCATCAATTGTGAACACTAGTCTGAGTGTCTTGATAAGCCTCACCTACAGGGCTTAACCCTTGCCGACACCTTTCAACATTCTTTGTTTGAAGTCGACATACTGCTGGGAGTTGATTTGGCATGGAAATTTTTAAAACCAGACGTGATTAGTGGTTTCGCAACTGCTCAAGCTTCATCACTTGGATACGTACTCTCAGGACCACTAAAGTCAGAGTACAATGGTTTTCAACGCTGTATGCAAAGCTTTGCTGTGGACTCCCACAACACAGTCATTTCATGGTTATCACCTTCCACCAGTGATGTCAATTTATACCAACAAGTAGAAGTTGCTTTAGGTTTTGACAATATTGGCATCAACAATTCCACTGACAAGCTACGAGATGATTGCTTCATCGAACGCTTCATAAGCCAAATAGAGTATCATGGAAGCACCTACTACGCACCTTTACCATGGCTTGATGATCACCCAGATCTACCATCAAACTTATCAATCACTGTTGGTCGTCTTGAACAATGAACAGGTCAAACGAAGATTACTTAAGTTACAACTCAAGACCAACTGAAGAAAGGTTATATGGAGACTGTGGAACCTGACAAAGAATGGGATGAAGTTAACTGTCACTATCTCAGTCATTTCTTTGTTCTTCGTTCCAACAGTAAGACGACACCACTTCGAGTTGTTTTTGCAGCTAATGCCAGTAGAACGTCACTGAATGATTGTCTACACACAGGTCCTTGCCTCCTAAGATCTCTACACAAACTCATTCACAGAATTCGTACTCAGAAAGTATGCCTTTGTAGCAGACATCGAAAAAGCATTTCTTAGAATCAAGCTGCTACAAAAAGATAGAGATTATGTCAGATTTCTGTGGTATGAAGATGGCGACCCAAACAAGTCCATGAAGGTATATCGATACACATCAGTATTTTTTGGTGGAACCAGCTCTCCATTTATTCTCAATGTTGTCATCTTGTATCATCTGAATAGATTTTGCAACACTTCTGATGAGAGCACCTTGAGTGTAGCCAACGGCCTTCGAGAGAAACTGTATTGTGACGATGTTCTGTCTGGTCAGCCAGATGAGGAAAGTGCAGTTACCTACTACAAGACTTCTAGAAAACTAATGAAGTCTGCGGGTATGAACTTACGACAATGGTTCAGCAATTCAGCGATGTTACAACAACTGGTAAAAATTGAGTCGACTGGGTCTACTGCAAGTTCATCTGGTATACTTGGAATGGAATGGGATTTCTCTCAAGATGTCATCAAATTTCCAAAAAAGGCTCTTCAAATTCTTAATCCAGGGCAACTCACTAAACGTCAAGCTTTAAGCACCTGCAAAGAGGTTCATAGCATCAATATGGGAATTAAAACTAGAATGGGATCAACTGATTTCTGCCAATCTTCAAGATGATTTTAGAATTAATGAAATTGAAGAAGCAATGCAGTATAGCGTTCCTCGTTATCTTAATTTGGACACTAGCAGAGAGGTTCAACTTCATACTTTTGTGATACTTGCCCTAACAGTGCTACTGCTGGTTCCTGCTTCCTTGTTCAAGATGACAATGTCGTGCTTGTTGGATCCAAGTATAAAATTCCACGATATGTCTGCATTGGTTACATTCTTCTAAAAAGTTGCCAGTTTTTGTCCAGAATCGTAAGAAGGAAATCCTTGACCTCACCATGTTCAACAGTTGGTCTCATGTCAGTTCTGAGGATAATGTTGCAGACCTTCTATCTAGAGGATGTTTGGCTTATGAACTTTTACAGTCTACCGGTCCTCCAGATTGGCCAAAATGGAATCCTCCAGACGTCAAATCTGATGATAGAGTTTTTATCAACTTAGCATCTGTTCAATCTGAAGAAACGCCAAATTGGTTTTTAAGCAGTCTCTTTGATGTATCCAGATTCAATTCATATAACTTTCTTATTCACTCTGCAGCTCATGTTATACGCTTCACGAACAACTCCAGAAACCCGGAAGCTATTCAAGATGTACCCAGGCATGATAAACCGACAGACATTGGTCTAGCAGAACTCACTTCAGCTGAAAATGTCATTTTGAAATCGCATCAAAAAGAGTACTTTATTGAAGAACTGAAGTATTTGAAGAAAGAAACCAAAACTAGACCAACTTTAGTTCGTCAACTTAATCTTCAACTGGATAACAATGATCTTGTCTGCGCCGCCGGCAGACTTGAGTATGTCCATCTCAACGATAGAGCCAGGATGCCAGTGATGTTGGCGAAAAGCAATAAATTCACAGATCTCGTCATACAGGCGATACACAGACAACAGCTTCATGCGGGTGTTAACTGCACTGTCGTTGCACTCAGGAAGTCATTTTGGGTACCCTCAGCGAGGAGTCAAGTGGCAAGAGTATTGAGGAAATGCATCATCTGCAAACGGAATGTTGGTCGACCCTACAAGTTACCGCAATCTCCACCTCTACCAGACTTTAGATTGAACAAGCTAAAGCCCTTTTCGTCAATTGGTATAGATTACACAGGTAATCTAACTGTTAAAGGGATTGATAAGAAGAGATACAAATGCTACATCTGCCTTTTTGCATGCAGTACCACTAGGAATGTTAATCTAGAGGTTGTTACAGATTTGACTGCTGATCAATGCATACAAGCTCTCCGAAGACATTGTGCAATATATGGTGTACCAGAGCACATCATCTGTGATAATGCTAAAACATTTGTCAAAGCTGAAGAAGATCTCCAGATTTTATTCAAACTTACAGCTGATGATCTGATTAAAACACATCTTACAAGGAATAGGATTAAGCTACATCATATACCAGCCAAGTCTCCTCATTGCGGTGGTATGTATGAAAGGTTAATTGGTGTTATAAAACTGTGTCTAAAGAAGATTCTTGATTAATCTTGGTGAACTGCAAACTATAATCAAAGAGGTACAAGCAACTGTAAACGACAGACCCTTGACGTTTGTTTCAAACTCCACAGAAGATCCAGAGCCTTTAACTCCGTCAAAACTACTTCTAGGATTTGATGTTACACCACTACCACATCTTCTTGTCGACAATGATATTGAAGATGAAGATTTTTCAACTCATGACAGCCTAAACCTAGCTGTTTAAAGACGTTCCATATTGTACAATTATTTTGTAGAACGGTTTCGAAGTGAATATTATTCTACCTTAAGGGAGCGTCATGTTTACCAATCTAAGAGGTCGGCAGCAACTGATGCTTTGATCTCCATTGGTGATGTTGTTCTTGTCAATAGCAATGATTTGCCAAGATTAATATGGAAATTAGCCATAATTCAGAAATTGTTAAAAGGCAAGGATGGTAGAGTACGGGCAGCTCAGATTCGAACCAATAACGGGACTTCCACTCGTTCTTTACACCTTTTATATTTCTTAAAAGTGTCGCTTTTAGAGTTTTTCAAGAAAAAAGAGAGAAACACAGAGATTCCATAGACTGAATTACGTAGAAGTAGAAGGATAGCAGAAAGTTCAATGCCCCGCCCCCAATATGTGTAATCTGCAAAATAGATCGGGGTGTTTCGGACTATAATTTATTGATATACAATGTAAAAGTGTCTGGATGTTAGAGACTATCCTATAACCACTTCCTCTGCATGCTTTTCAGAACAGTTGTTGATTGAACATGTGTTGTGTAATATAGTGTTTATATTTCCTCTTGTTATTTCATACTTATGTGGTATACCAACTCCCACAAATAATAAAGGTGTTAAATTTTAACTCATTCTCCTAAACCGCAAACGATTTCTTATGGGAATTGCTGGAGGGAAAGTTAGCAACTAAATCTGAGAGTTTAGTGCTGGATATGGGATCACCGAGATCATTGAAGTTTGAAACATTAGAAACTACCAGAGTTGCACATACACATCTCAGTTTCGCATTGTACAATTTTTTTTAAAAGAATGATCTCGAGCAATTCAATCTCTCCTTCTACATATCTAATATTTATATATTTCTATTCTCCTCAATCTGACCTGCAAAAGATCAAAACACAGTTGTGGTTTTGCCAAAGAGGAATGTCAGTAAATTTTATAAAATTGGAAATATTTTGTCAGATCAGTAGGCCTATCTAACACTAAACTTACAATTTATATGTACCAAATCTTGCCGAATAATTGTGAAAAATTTTTTTCAAATCCAACAAGGTTCGAATGATATGTGTTAATGGGAATCTTGGTCCTGGTGGGATTCTTAGATCAACTATTTTGTGAAGAATATGCATTTATATATTGATGCGATCTCATGCAAGTTTGAAATTGGTAATAATTGGATCACAGGTTTCAGAGTTATTGCCCTTGACTTAGTAAAAACTTGTCAAATTTGGGTTGTAGGCACGATAGAGACTACAGTTTTTATCTGATCTTGATTAAACTAGATATGCTTGATGAGATTTTGATCAAGTTAGAAATTGGTTATATTCGGATGATGAACAGTTTCAGAGTTATTGCCCTTGTGTGTACAGCGATGAGACATTCTTCATGTTTGAATTTGATGATAACTTGATGAACTGTTTCAGTTTTTTTGCCTTGACTTAAAGATGATATTAAGATTATTTAAGAAATTCATTATTAAGCCACAAAAGATGTTGTTATCATGTCCGACAGCTGGCAGTGGGCGTATGTTACCTTGCCTGTCAAGCTATCTTTAATTCTTAGGTTGGTATTGTTGGAAGAACTGGTGCAGGTAAATCATCTTTAACAGTGGCATTATTTCGATTGATTGAAGCTGCCAATGGCACTATTAACATAGATGATCAAAATATAGGAGAACTTGGACTTCATGACCTACGCTCAAAACTAACCATACTGCCACAGGTAAGTTGGAAACCATCAAATGCAAATGCAAACAAATTTGAACTTGTATAATAACATGTCCATCCAAGCCAATAAGCAGCCAAGTACTTCTAAGGGGGAGGGGGGTGGGGGGGTGGCATACTTCCAATCCAGGTTTCAAGTAGGTACACCCTCCCCTCCCAGAAAACTTTGTGAGTTGTTACGTATTACAGTGGTGCTCTCTATAGAATTATTGCCCTTTTGGAAACATGAAGTCTGGGGACCTCCTCTAGATTTTTTGAAGAATTTGACTTCCTAACGAATTTAAGTTTTATATGTATCGGGACTGTGGGACCACCACAAGAAAATTCCAGACATTTCCCAGCGAATTTGGGATTTAAGATTATTTGTATAGTGTCTTTGGTATGCCGCTTAGAAAATTTTGAGGATAAGATGCCCAGAAACACGATTTCCTGACATTTCTTAACGAAATTAACGTTCAAGATTATTTGTATAGCGTTTGACACCCAGAAACATGATTTTATGACATTTCTTTTGACCCCCCTAATTCCCCCCTTGGCTAAGGGCCTATAACCCAAACTGTCTTCTTAGTCCATTAGGTGCAGATACAGAAAACTCTATACATTTTATATCATTTCTGATAGATTATAAAAGCATAATGGAGTGGACCGAAGTTGTTAAGTACAAGTGTTAGACAAAGCGTATAATAGTTTCTCAGTTGTCCTTGATGACCAAACATTTCTGACAACATCTGTCATCTACTCACCACTGATTTAACTAGAACTGTGAACATGGTAAGTGTGGCAATGAGATGTTAACCCTTGGCTTTTGGATCTTTTGATACTTCTAGCTTGTTAGATTTCAACTGTGGTGCTTTTAAGCCTGCTATTGGTGCACAGAAAATTGAAACTCTAAGATATCTGGTAAATAAATCAAGGAGCTACGTTTATCCGGTTGCCGATATCCGCACGCTTTTATCTGGTAACGGAATATTTACTATGTAAAATTACCCGTTACTCCGATGCTCCGGTTTCCGGTTCTGCACGGCTGTGATTGGGAACCAATTATCAAATTCTATAGTAAAAAGTATTCATCTTCCGGTCGTGTGTTACTGTGAGTTCTTCTAACTGGCTTCTGGATTAGCGGTATTTATGATGTCGCGTGATTGATGTTTAATAAATCCTCATTACGAGATTAAGCAATTAATTTAATCATCACGTGTAACTAATACCATTTATCGTTCAGTTATACTTCAATGTCATCTTTCGTTCAGTCATACCTGAATTCTATTATTGATACGGAATGCATCAAACGTTAGCCCTACGAAGTTACGGCACGGAAATTTGTGTTTATAAATCAGCGAAACTGATTATTAGAATATGCGGTTAATTTAATGACCATGTGCATGCTATCTTTCGTTCAGTAATACTTGAATTCAATTTTTTGTTCAGTCATACCCGAATTCCATCATGGCTACGGAACACATCAAACATTATCGCTACGATGATACGGCACAGTATTACGTTTATAAATTAGTGAATCCTAATTTTAAGGAATAATATTGTTATTATCATGCTATGATAGTGAAATAAAATGAAAAATTATAAACAATCGAGGTTCTTCACACGTATTGGCCCTATAAAGTACACACATGTCTATCACGTGTTGCGTACGTGACATTTGACAGGTGTCCTTATAGGAAGGGATATAACTCTAGTTATGGAATGGCATGTTTCAACTATCCAGATTTTCGTTAAACCGCATGATTTTATCGGGAACGGGAATGTGCGGATAAACGAAGCTCCACTGTATATAATTACTCTTACAGTTGCGATCTAGCAATGACCCAAGCATAAGAAGAACAAATTCGGGTGAAGAGTTATATTTATATGATTATTCATTATAAACCCCAATATTTTCTTAGCTTAGCCAAACGTCTATATTTAAGTGACCTTATTAATGATCACAATACCTAGTATTGGCAATTTAAGTTTATAACCTTGAATCAATAATATTGTCTATCCATTTGGGCTCATTGTCATAAGGGCTAATTCACATTTGAACTAATGTTTTTCGCTTTGGTGCAACTGGTTCAATTTGTTCTTTCCCATTTGGGCCACTGATTGGGATAAATAAAACAAGAAGCAGATGCTTATTAACTTCTTGCATATCTGGGTCATTCTCCAATAATCCCAACTTTTGAAGAACTTATTTTCAAAATAAATTATATTGATAATAGTTGTCTTTTTCACTTTTGTGACATGACAAAACTTCGAGCGTTGAACAGCAATATATACAGTGGTGTAACCTATTTTCGTGCATATAAGGATTCAACACCAAATTTCCTCTAAGTTCAAATAATGGATTTTTTTTTTATCTCTTAGATGCTTCCTCGGATATTTTACAAAATAATTAAAATGGGTTTATTTCAATTTTCTTTATGAATCCTTCACTTTGACCCATATTTCATGAGTAACCAACTCGACAATGGCGGCAAAATGCGTCACCTATTTTCGTGTACATTGCTTGATCTATAAATAAGTCGAGAAAAACACGTTGTATGAATACCAAGTGGTATAATTAACTTCTCCTTAGTATTTCTCTTAAATGTCATTCATTATTATTAGTGACAATTCCTTCAAAGAACCATGATTTAAAAAAAAATAGTGACTGACAAAATAAGATACGTAGCGTGATTTATTGCTAAAGTCATTGAAACAACATAAGAATATGGCCCACTTTGTGTTCCATAGATAGAAATTTTCTGCTGACACGGAATCTGCTAGCTGATCACGTGACTTCATTCGTTGGACTACATTCTAGCAGACGAAACTTCAATTACAACTAAGGATTGTAAGGAAATTCGGCCGATAAAAAATTGTGACGTTTGGTAATAACTGAAATCCACCATTTTGTATTTGTCAAAGTATACATTAATACATTTTACCTTGCTTGAAACTACTGAATTTATTCTACTAGCTGATATTGTACGGATAACTCATGTCTATCAAAACAAGCAAAAACAGAGGTCATGCGACGTCGCACATGTAAATTATTAATCCTTTCTGGAAATGCACGAAAAATAGGTTAGCACGAAATTAAGATACTTGACTGTACCGAAATTTGATTGGTTGTGAAAATTATGAGCTGTTAACCTCATTTAAGAACTGCAAATCAAGCAATGCGACATAAAACAAAGAATGGTAAATCGGTTGCAACGGCACAAAAGACCTTTGAAATGGTATCATATCGTTGAATTTTCTGATGATCTTCATTTTTCACTGTTTTCTCTTAAAAGGTTTCTCTCGATTATTCCCGCGCTAAATTGAGTAAAAGTCGTTTTTTAACAGCGTATTTCAAACTCTTTTTATGTTTACATTAATAGAACATATTATACCGGGTTTATCTTCTAAAGTCATGTATGGTTGATGATATTTATTATGATAAAGACACATACGATGATAGACAATACATAAAAACCCGGGGGGGACATCACAAACATAAACATACTGATGAATGAAAAGATGACAAGATGGCCGTCAGATCATGCTTACACGACTACTACATGTTCATCGACTGCCGGGCTTAAGCTGAAGTTTTCCTTTTGTCACTTGACAACTTCCGGTAACAACACAGAGCTAGTCACTATTTTATGTTAACATATCTGCTCAATTGAAACTCCATAGGTTAATGAAATGGTCGCAGATGTGTTGAAGCGGTGATTGTCTGCATTATTTTATTCATAAAATGAAAAATTATAGGCTATTCTTTTTGAAAACCAATAGTTTGAGAGTTTTACATCATTTGTAGTAATAACTTTTAAATTAGACACCCACTAATGCCCTGATTAATTAAGGCAACCGAGTTAAATTCAGGGAATTTGAAAGACAAAAATATTAAAACTATAACAAAACCACATTTGCAAAATGTAGACTCTTAAAAATGCCTTAAGTAGACTATACAGGAATAGTGGTAGCCTACAGGTCACATTTTTGTCAACTTAAAATATGATTCATGGAAACTAATGAAGGTGCCAATTAAAAAAATTTGTCAATATTGCTCCACAATAAACCTTTTTACCTATTCCAATGTTCATCTGATTACTATAGAAAATCAGTCTTACTATGTAACTCTTGGTCTACACACGGTTTAGGCCTTAACTTCTTTAATAGAAAGAAAGCTGAACTTTTATTTGAACAATGAAAGTAATATTGCCATAAATTACTTATCCACCTAGGTCTATCAACGATAAACAAGGAGTCGTTAGCACGCTCAAAATGAAGTGGGTTGTATCCATTGCAAGTTACCACAAACTTTATTTTTTGTGTATTCTATTAATATTTTGTTCCTATAGCCTTAATAAATTAGACTGTTGCCAGTTTGAGTAATTTGAACGGTACATAACGCCACAGCTACATTTTTTGTGGTATTCAGAAACATGTGATCGCCTTCAGTTGTAAAGAGACACCCCAGTACCTTTCTGTTATGAAATTTGATTAGTTAGATTTCGGGGAAGGGAGGGTTTGATTCTCCCAAATGTACAGGCCTATGGTGGAGCAGACACTTTATTTAGAAATTAGGATTAAGGGTCTTGATATTGGGTTTTCTTCTGTTCTTATTCTGATCTGAAATTAGAAAAAATAACTCGCCCGATGGGCGAGAAGTATAGTATCTGTTTTGTACTGATTGTTTTTAGTTTACTATGAACAATATTATCATTTAAGTTCTTATTTTTTGAATATGCAACTATCATTTTCTGCTTATAGACATGGGGGAATTTCTCTTGAAGGCTCTTATAGTGGGCATGAACTATCTTGCTTGCTCGATTGCTGGTTGTATTAAACGGGACAACAAAGGGTGCTATGCCTACATTATGATGAATATTTAGTCCTATTGGTCTTGCTGTATTCAATGTCTCAATCCAATGGGCCTCCCTAGATTGACGGAATTTGGTAGTTTCATCTTCGGGCAAGTCAATTTCTATACGCTCAATTGGGATTAGGGTGAGATCGTCTATTGAA